TGGTGCAGAGACCGTAGATGTCGGGTTTGTGCAGGTTGATCTCTCGGGGATGAGGACTGCGGCGAATCCACGGCCGTCCGTCTGGATGCTGCCATGACTCCTGGCTCATGAAGGGGAAGTCAAGGGGGATAAGGTCCACGAGCTCGTCTGATGAGGCTTGACAGCTCGTTATGTGGAAGTCCAGAACGTAGAAGCCGTTGATTGATCGAGCCCGTCCCAGGCTGGAGGGGCGTAGGTAAGGATGAGGTCGCGAGTACCTGGATCCGTGGCGAGCATGACTCCGCAGTCTTGAAGTTGTCCTGTTGAGAGTAGGTTAAAGCATAGGTCCGGGACGTAGAGCACGTCGTTGAACGAGATGTGGGTATTGCTGTCTCGTGCTTGCAGGACCACGATGCCTTGTGCATTGGCGCGCAGCTGCTCATTGTTGGTGACGGTGACGTAGGCGGCAGGGGCGCGGCTGAGATTCGAAACGTATCGAACAGATCCCACCATCTGCTGTCCACAGCAGCTGTCCAGATACCAAGTGTTGTAGTTGTCGGTGTTGTTGTTACGCAGTAGTAGCGCGAGTCGCGGAGTCACCAGTGTTGCCTTGTAGCGTCTGTGGAAGGATGGGTCTTCTTCCTCTTTCCATCCCACAGGTACGTTATGATGGTGGTCGTGTGGCGGGCTTTCCCGCAGTGTTATTGGCAGATGCCAATCTTGCTCGTCTTCGTCATACAGGTAGTAGTGGTTTTCTGTGAGGGGAGTATTCCATCCTTCCTCTGGTGGAATGAGCTCACCGTGGAGTTCGTCCTCTTCGTCTGGCCGTGCAACGACGCCTCGTCGCCATGTTCGCTATCACGTTTCTGGGAGCTCCTGTGTGAGGTCCTTGTGACTGCTGTTGTTGATGCTGTGCAGGGGGACGAGAGGTCTGGTGTTGAGGCTGAAAATGACGAGCGTCTTGTCGGCCGACGCAGTTGTTGTGATGAGTGGAATTCGGGTGGCGGTAGTTGGATCGGGATTTGCATCAATCCGTTGAGTGTCCGAAGACTTTGCATATTTTGCAATAGTGGCGCCTTGGTTGTCGTCGCTCTTCACGGTTGTCTGCATAGAAGGCGAGGCGCTCTCGGCGCGGCGCGGAGCTTGTTCTGCTCGAGTCCATGTCCTGCCGTTCAGTCAGGAGAGCGGCGCATAGCGCGGCTTCAGAGATAATTCCTCGTTGTCGGAGTAGCGCTTTACAGGGCTTCCACTCTGGCCCGAGTCCTTGAAGGACTATATTGACGAAGATCACCTCCAAGATTGCGCTCCCATGCTTCGTGATCTGGTCACGGATGTTCCGACAACGGTTAATATATGAGTTCGCTTTCTCCCCGTGCCCCATCTTTGTCTCCATGAGTTGTTGCAGGAGCCTGCTGGCGGTGACCGAATCCTTCGGTTGATATACCTCAACGAGGTGCTTCCAGGCTTCCAAGGCTGGAGCGGCGCTCTCTTTGTAGGAGAAAATGCTGAGTTGTTCCGCGAGCGTCATGTTTCGTAGCAGCACACTGTATGCCATGAGGGACTCGCTGTAGTACCGAGCCCTAGCGTCGTCGGTGTCTTCCACCGGTTTTGCGTAGGAGCCGTCGAAGTAATGGTAGATCTGCGCTGTCTATAGGAGGAGCTCAAGCTCGAAACTCCATGCATAGAAATCTTTGCCGTCAAATGCGGCGGTAGTATTGATTTTTGAAACGCTGAGGAAGCGTGCTTGCGAAGAATTAATGAATTCATCACTTGGACGGGGGGCAGTAGTTGTTAATTTGTCTATGTTGAGGGAGAAGGTGTGCGCGGCGCTATCACGGCTTTTCGCAGCCGGTTGTCCAGGTTGAACTGGTTAGAAAGATGTTCCCGCAATGCCTTTGCACAATTCTTGGAGATCTTTCTCCATAGTTGATAGTCGCGAAAATAACTGCTCGAGTGCGGCAGTGCTGATCGTGGTTGTCGCCTCATTTGTCGCAGCCGGGTTGGTTTGTCCTTCGGCCGTCAGATTTGCTTAATCTCCGGATCCTCCGGCCATCTTGGTCTTGGAGCGTGTGCCGCTCGCCAGGTCTTGGTTCGGCGAATTTTCACGGAAGTGAAGTTGCGAAGAATCCCTGAAAAGCTCTCATACCATGTTACAATCCCAAGTGGGACTTAGCGAAGGATCGCTCAGGGTTGATCGCAGGGTAGTGTTGCAGCGGAAGTAGTGAACTCAGATCAGAGTGAATGTAAATGACTGAGATGATAATAGCATGCATACATCGGATTTATATATGAATACAAGAGAATACGAAAAGACCTAGACTAGCCATGTACTCTAAGGGGTACATTTCCCTATTGCAACGAATCAAAACCGTGCGGCGCGGGAACCCGTTTTGAACCTGTTCTCGCTCTTTTCATTTCAAATGTTTATGCCTGCATCGGTCTTGATCAGACGGTTGTTGCGTCGCTTCGACTCTTCTGACTCCTCGACTTCGTACTCGTTAGAGTCGGCCCCTACAGCATGCAGGAATGCCTTCTCATATGGCTTAATATCGTAACAATTTCCACACCGACGCAATTTCACCTGGCCTTCTCCGCTCAACGGTTTTCTCAGTGGGGCTTAACACATGGTTTCTTTGGTTTTCATCTCGGTGCAGCTGTGAAGATTTTGTGGACAGCAGAGATGTTCCGGGCTAGAGGCCCTCGCTGAAAGAGTCCCTTTTCCCCCTTGTGTAGAGTTTTCTGATATCGCCTAGTGTTGGCCCGACCCCTATAGTCCCTTTTTTGGCGGGAAATTTCGTAGCTTGACTGGATTATTGCACGAATCAGCTCCGTAGCCAATCAGAGGCTCCAGATCGAACCGGCCCCACCCAACATTCAGAGAAAACGAGAATTAAGGGATCATCGATTCGTTATTTAACTGTGTAATTGTAAGTCATTGTATTTCTCTTGAGCGTGATTAATTCTCAATCCTGTCGTGCGGTCTCCAGTACGCTCGACGATGAAATCTCATTCACCTCGCTTACAAGGTAAACGCGAAGTTTTTACCTTCTATTCGACCCCCGAACCATAATTGATTAAACCGAATCTACGTAAAAGACAAAATCCAAAGACTGGACGGCACTATGAGTATCGCGTTTTGCCAAGGGGTTTGAAGGTTTTCACACAGTCCGCGCGCGGCGCCTCAGTCTGTCGGACTATAAAGGAGAACACTTGTATTCAGGGCTGTCGCTTGCTCGGGGCCCAGAACTTAGCAGGCTGAGGTGCCCTGAATTCAGCCCTTTTATATCCGGGTTGAGTCAGATTTCAACACTTAGATCCAGGGCTACACATCCTTCTGCACTTGAGCGAAAACACATCGTGAAAGCAGATGATGTTCAAATACACATGAGGGCTGTAGTACATAGCCGGTCTACCATGCAACGAGGGGGCAGGAGTATGTATGGAGGTTCTATGTAAGCAGGGGTGACATATCAATGGAAACGAGGGGGTAGGGTGGTAGATGAAGGCTCTGAGCGTGTACGTGAAATCCGGGTTAGGCGTTAATCCTGCCCGTAAGGGAAACGGGCTGGCCTCTAAGCCAGCCCTTGAAATCTCTGAATTGGGCCCGAACAAGCACTTGAATTCAAGGGTAAAAAGGGCAAATGCCTTTGTAGTGACAGGCCTGCTTGTATTCTTGGAGGGGGGGAGAAAGTGCTGTGCACTATTTCTTTCCTTGGCGTTTTCTCGGCGTTCTTCTTGACTTCTGTCAGGATGCGTCAGCACGACGGACGATCGCGATCACACCGACAAGATCAACGGTTTCTGATACATCGCGATTGAATTTCGCGTCAGCAGGTTCCCTCCTTCTCACGTCAGTCGACCGTCAGATTTACATCTGCTCGATCTACGGCCCACATTCCAACTTCTACTTCATTTTGGGCTAGTTCAACCGCGTCCGTCAGATCGAAATCGGACTTCATCAACGGCCTCAATTCCAACCTTTCTTTAAATTGGTTGAAGGCAATTTCAGTCGTCGGATTCACTTGGGCTGAAGATCAACGGTATCCTTGCTACTAGGGGACCTGTTTCACTACAGAGCTGCCTTATTTAGGAGGTGGGAGAGTGCAAGGATTTACTGACCCTAAATCCTTACTGAGGCACTCTTTAGCGAGGTTATCCCGAGGGCCACGCGACCAGCTGGTTCGGCCTACAATTTCGCGTCCAAACCTCACCGAGCCACCTCCGCATCAATCGTGACCCTTCGCGAGCCAATCTTTCCCCACCTCCCCGCCTAGCTAGGACTTCCCCTATTTAGGCCTCGTCACTTTGTGTGTATCGTCATTCTGTAATCCATCATTCCCGTTATTCGTTATTCTGCGCACTCTGCAAGTTCATTCATAACATTGTTAGCATAACATGTATAGTAACGAAGCCACAGCTCTTCCAGGACAGATTTCTGTCTTTCCATCCAAAAACGGACACAAGTGTCTGCAAACGGTGTTAGGGGGTGTCCGAAGTGAAACGTCAACATCCGTTGACATCCGTTTGGGGATGTCGGTAAATCCTGACGGTTGGAACTGTCGATCCGAGGGATGAAATTTACCGACATCCAGCGACATCCATCGACGTTTCACTTCGGACACGCCATTACGGTGTGTTTCGGTGGGTGCAAGACATCTACAGCTAGGCGAGTCAAAAATTGCAGCCTTTCCCATCAAAATGCAGCCCTCGTGATTGTCCCCCCAACCTGGGGACCGCCACCTGTGCCGTCCGCGTTTTCAGTTATCTGCTGCAGGTCAGTTGAAGACATATAAGTGACACTAGTACGTCTTCAGTGCACAGTTGTTCCCACAGTGCGGTGCTGCAAGGCCTACGGTGCACGCAAACTTCCTCACTACAAATCACGCCCTTACAACGAATGTTGCTTTGGGAGAAAACTACACGGATGTTTTCTCCCCCAGCAGATCAGATTTCGTCTGCAAGGGACTCTTGTTAGAGCAGCCAGAAAAACTTAGCAGAGCTACACTTCTTGTTACTTATCAATGGCTGCTCCTCGGGCGCGACTGCTGTTGTTACATTTCCTTTTTCTCTCAGCTCTTCTCACCTTTTTCCACGGGCCATCTCAAGCGGATTTATTAAAAGCCGCCAGAGATCCCCTTCATTCCGTTCCAGCAGCCGTTGATACTGACACCCCTCACCCATCTGATGGCGTTGCGACTAGCACCGCGTCCGCCCCACCACCTGCTCCCTCCGCCCGCGCTGCCGCTCCATCCGCTAAGCCTAGCTCGGCGTGGGAGCGCGCGGTAGCAGCGCTGAAGCCCGCGATGTACGGCGCGGTGGCCGCCATGTCCGTCGGCGCGGAGAGCGATGTGCCCACTGATGCGCTCCGCCCGCTGCTGGCGCCCGACGTGGTCGTCACGGCCAAGGTCCGCCTGCTCAACGCGGCGAATCTTACCTCCTCCGGGATAGTTTGGCAAGGGCTGACCTGTCCTTCGGAAGGCACGCTGAAGCCGCCCTCTCCGACCGCCGCGCTGCTTTACCTGCGGTTCGAGCAGCGTGCCGATTCGCAGAACTCGGCGACGCCTCTGACGTCGCGCACGTGGCCTTTCGCCGACTCGGCGCAGCCGTCGCCCGTCTACGCCGCTCCGCTCGCGTTCCTCTCGCCCATCGTCTCCTTCCGCCTCTACCCCGGCACTCCCGTGGGACCAGCGGCGCAGCAGAAAGAACTCAGCCTGGTGGGGCTGGGAGGGAGCGTAATGGGAGCTGGTTATATGCAAGTATCTTTGAACGTCTCAAGAGCTCTTCTTGCTCAGCCACGTGCTTGCACTCTGATAAACATCGAGGGGGGTATAGACCAGCAGACAATGTCTATATCGAGCGCAGCCGACATTGCAGGGTGCAGCAGGCTGAGCACGTTCAACAGCAGCTACTTCTTCGTTCTCACGGAACCGGTGGACATTCAAGACCAGGTAAAGTTTCCGCCACCCCCTCCGCCATCCCCTCCGCCTCCGCCCAGCCCCCCTTCTCCGCCTCCGCCTCCCCTTGCTCCTCCTCCCCCGGCCCCTCCCGCTCCGCCTCCCCCTCCGGCGGCTGGAGGCAGCAACACGGCCCTGATCATGGGGATTGGCATTGGCGTGGGCCTTGCGGTGCTCCTCTTGGCTGGCATTGTGGCGGCGCTCGTCTATATCTGGACGGTCAGGCGGAAAAAGAATGCGCAATCACAGCCTGAGGGGAAGGTGGGCCGGGCACAGCTGCTGGCTGTGATGGCATCAGTTAAAGGCAGTTCAAGAGGTTCTCAACGTTCAAATGCATCTAGTTCAGTCAATTAGGGTACATTCCTGTGGGGACACTTGTGTCTCAATCCCCGTTTTCCCGAGTCGCGCCTGTTAATTTTCCCAATGTTGTGTCACAAACATCGAATGTACCGCGATGTAGGGCGACATATTGGCAGGTTCAGTTGGACACGTTTCACTGGCGGGGATCAAAAAGAGATGTACAGGTGTGTGCATTTGACTGGGTGACAGTACACCCGTATTTTCAACCTCCGAGCAGGGGCGTGGTTTCGATGCGCGGGATCTTTTCCCTCGCAAAATTGGCATTTTCGGATGTCCAGTTGCATGTGGTCGTGTCGGGCATTTCGAGTCGCGTGCGATTCTTTAACAATGACGGGTCGTTTCACAATTCGACAGCGATGTCAGCGCGTTTCACGCTGACCAATAATAAATACAATACAAGTCGCCGAAAGCCGATTCGCATTTGGGACACAACACAGTTTATGTTGTTTTTTGGTGTCACAAAGTGATTGAGACACAAGTGTCCCCACAGGAATGTACCCTTAATGCCTGTCAGGTGCGCTAGTAGCTGTAATGGTGGTAGTATAGGGGGTGCAACATGCTGGTATGACTGAATGCCTATTTATGACTTCTCTCTATAGGTTAAGCTACTTTGCTTTACCAATTGCCTCTATATATTAACATCGATACATTCATTGACGGTTTTGTCGAGCTAGAGGGGGCAGTGGCCCTGAAGTGGATGTCCAGGCGAATTGCCAAGCGACATTCACGGATCTGCCCGCAATGAATCTGGTCGCATCTCAAGGAACAATCAATGTGCAATCCCCCTAACCAACCAACCAGAGGCAAAGTCGGGGTGGAACTGAGAAGGCTCCTGTCGTGGCAGCGCCTCCTGCTTCCCTCCCTCCTCCGTCCTCCTGTCTGCCCTCGCTCACCCTCTGTCCCCGTCACCGTTACAGTCCCGTCGATCCCACTTGTGCAGTCAGACGCACCACCTAGTCCCACAAGACATGGTAGTGACTAGCTTCTAATGACGCCCTACACAGCACGGTTAGTTCCTGATTTCTGAACCTACCCTGCGGCTTCTTCCGTCCTGCAGCCGCTCGTCATCCCCCCACAGGACACTATCGCGCATCAGCGGGGTTAGGGCACAAGTTAACACTGCCAATCCATTCCCATGGCGTCATCCGCTGTGGGGTCGGTCGTAGTCTCTTCTTCCTTCACTCACGATGCGGCTCGTCGCCAACCCACAGCCATCGTTCGCGATAGCTCCCCTCAGGCCAGCGCGAAACGAACCGCCAGACACCGCAATGCCGACCTCCCTTTCCGCCAATTCCCGCATTTTGCCAGACCCGCCAACACACAGACCCGCAGAGTCAACGGGTTCCGCCTTTCCGCCTACGCGGAAGCCGCGTCGGAAAGCGGAAGACCAGCGGGCGGATCCGCGGGGCAGGCGAGCGGAACACGGGGATCCGCGGGCAGGGGGGACTCGACGAGCGGGGAATTCGTGGACACGCGCATTCATTGGAGCTCCCCGGACGAGGGGTGGGTGGGCGGCAACAGCAGCGGGTTCAGTTCTGAGGAGGAGTTCGAGGCGCGGTCGAGCGACGCGGGGCTGCGCACCGCGATGAGCCGCGATATGCAGCTGCTGATTATGTCGAACTCCAACAACCACTACACGTACGCGCCGCGCTCTTTCGTTTCATGAACGTTGGTGAGCGAAACGCGTTTTCTCAACGACTTCAGTATCGGTGACCAGCTGTCGCGCATAGCGATTCTCGAGGGGCGCATTAGTGTTAAATGGTTGTGGCGCACACGGCAAGTCTGCTGGCTGTCAATACACGCCACTGGCGCCAGTCACTCGCGAGCTGTAGCAAACAGAATCAACTGATTTCAGCGGTTAATGGGAGAAATAAAACTTTGATTGTACTTCCGATGACGATTCAGAAAGATTTTTTAAGCAATCAGTCAAACCATCCACTCGCCGCCCCAACCACTCCCCGCTTTTCCGCCCCTGGCCACCCCATCCCCCGGCGTGCTGGGCGTGTCACCCCTGGCGGACAGGGACGATGTGAAGGCGGCGTACCGGCGGCTGTCGAAGTGGTTTTAATCAGAACGATCTCAACTGGTCAAAACACCCACTCGTCACCCATCTCCCTCTTCTCTCTCTCCACCTTTCTCCCCACCCCTCTCCACCCCACTTTTCCCCCCCTCCCCTCCTCTCCCTCCTCCCTCTCTCCCTCTCCTTCCCCTCCCCGTTTCCCCCTCCCCAATGGTTTTCCGTCTTTTCTCACCCCATCCCCCAGCGTGCTGGGCGTGTCACCCCTGGCGGACACGGACGACGTGAAGGCGGCGTACCGGCGGCTGTCGAAGCGGTTCCACCCCGACACGACGCGGCTGCCGCTGGCGCTGGCGGAGCAGCAGTTTGTGCGGCTGAACCAGGCGTACGAGGTGCTCTCCAGCTCCGAGGACCGCCGCCTCTACGACTGGAAGCTGTACGGGCACACTGGCGGGAGGGAGGGATGGGGGGGAAGAGGAAGGGAGAGTGGGATGGTGGGAGAGAGGGACGGAGGGAGGGAGGGAGGACAAATGGTTGGTAGGGGGAGATGGAGAATGGAAATGAGGAAGGGAGAATAGGGAGGGACAAGGGAGTGAGTGAGGGAGGGAGTCTGGGGAGAAATGGGAAAGAGAGTGCTTGTGCATGGTTTATTGGATTGGTCCGTGCAGGAGCCCTAATGCTCTTAACGACATGGGCGTTCCTTTCTCCCCGAAATCCCACTAGCCCACTTCTTAAGGAATGCTTGTCTCTGTCTACCGTACATTGCAGAGCTCAAGAGGCATCTGATGCGCGTGGCGGGCGGTTTGTGTGGCCGTATGAGGTGGACCGCACTCAGAGAGGAATGGGCTCGCGGGACCCTCCCTCTCCTGTGGGCAGGAGAGGCCCTGGGGAGGATGAGAATGACGTTCCACTTTCAGATGGCTCGATCATGGCGCTTGCATTCGATGCATTTGCTGTGCTGATTGCGGTTGCTTGTATTTGTTATGCAGCCTTTTTCAAGGGGAACTGATAGAACCAATCTTGCATAGTCACGGTATTTGCTATATTTACACTTGTAAAGCGTATCACATTTTGTAGAGCAAGAGATGAGGCTGTACCAGCAGTAAAACTTGCAAATCTCTTCAATATTTCTCATTAAAACGTGTACACATTTACAGATATAGTATCCTAACTCCTAATTCAAACCAAAGCAGCACACAATCAAAGGTGCCTACCACCTAGGGAGCATATTAATCTCACAGTCTACTACCTAGATCAGGGCTCCCCATCTCAAACCCGTGTGCGCAGCTCTTTCACGAGCATTACGCAGTCACTCAAAACGAAGCGTATGTACACAAAACTGTTACTTTCGCGTAAGTTCCGCTCTCGTTTTCTGTAATTCACTTGAGCCGGTACCCAAATGACACACTTACGCACCAAGAGTGATGGCCCTCACGCGCCGCCTTTCAAAAACGCGACCGGCCGCTTCCAGCTTGGCCTCCCGCGCGATCTGCGGAAGCATATCGCCATGAAGCTCCTCCGCAGCAGCTGACCGTTGGATCGCCTCCGTATGCCTGGGCCACGCGCAACGGGGGCCAAGGGGAGTTTCCGCTGGTGTTGGCGCAGAGGTCGCGGGGAACCTGCGGGGCCAGGCGCATCTTGCGCCCTCTGCAAGTGCAAGGGCCGGCGCAGGAGCAGCAGCGGAAACAGCGCGGGGCCAGGCGCACCGCGGCCCTTCCACAGCCTGAGGCGCAGCCGCTTCCGCCTGGACTAGCGCCCGCTCGAGCAGCGCCTGGACGTCGGAATTGGCCACCTGGCGCGGCCACGCGCACCTTGGGCGCTCAACAGGCGCCGTCTCCGCGGAAGCGACAGCGCTGGCTGCGCGAGGCCAGTTGCAGCGGGCGCCTGGGGTAGTAGTAGCTGCCGCAAGTGGCGGGGATGCAGCGCGCGGCCACAGACACCGAGCAGCCTCCGCTGCAGCCGATGATGATTTGTGCGGCCACGCGCAGTGCGCGCCGATGGTTGCGGCGGTGGGGGCGGGGTAGCGGCCGGGAAGTGCGGAGAGAGCTGTCGGTCGGGGCCAGGCGCAGCGGGGACCGGTGGAGGCGGCGGGTGAAGAGCGCGGCCAGGCGCAACGGGCGGCGAGAGCAGGGGATTCGGCGCGAGAGGCGAAAGTAGGATGCGCAGCGGAAGCCTTGCGAGGCCACTCACAGCGCGCGCCAGCCGCAGCGACGGCAACTGCGCGCGGCCACTCGCACCTTGCAAAGGCGGCGGGGGAAGCAGCCTCGGTCACAGCGAGCATGGCCAGAGCAATCGCCGCGGTTTCGACTGGTGCAGGTGTGGAACGCAAAATTGATCCTTGTCGAGGCCAATTGCAACGGGGATAGACAGTCGCTCCGGCTTGCTGTTGCTCATGCCTGGGCAAGATGCACTGCGGGCGAAGCATCGTCTCAAGCTGCTGGATCTCCGCGTAAAGGGCCTCGCGGCGGAGTTCCCGCTCAAACGCGGACAGGTACGCAGCCGGGGATCGCGGAGGCGCCGTGCGCTTACGTGAGTACGACCACGCGAAGTCCAGTTCGTCGAGAACGGGCGACAGGCCCTGCGCGCGAAGGAGCAGCCATTCAATGGCGGCGGGCGTGGAGGCCGGCGGCTGGCGAAGGTTCATCTCGCTGGCGAGGAGCGGAAGTGGGTCGGCGCACGTGCCGTCGCCCCAGGCGATCTGTTCCATTTTGCGATTCTTGTGAAGGCTCTTTTGGGAGCTGACCGTTTGAGTGAACGGCCGCACGGCGCGCAGAATCTGGGGACGATTGTCGCGGTTGTGTTTGGAGAGAGGGCGCCCGCTCAGCTGCGGAGCGCTGAGGTTGGGAGTGCTACTATCTGGAGGCTGCGACCCGCCTCGCCTCGCCATGGACGACAATGGCGCATGGCTGATGATGGGCTGCGCTGCGACTATAGACAAGGAAGCCATTGGAAGCGTGTGTTAAACGATCTCTAAGCAAGGCTGGGAAACTGTAACGCTGGAAAACTGGAGCTTTGTCCTGGATGGAAGATAGCAGGTTTCTGTCTGAAAATTCGTGGAGAAGCTCTGAAGATGGGAATGGAGAATAACGTTCTCAAATGCAAGCGATTATGAAGTGGAGCCAGCAATTCGCGACTCGGTGACACCGTGGAACAACCACTGAACCAACAACAGTGCGTGCTGGTGACGCAACGTGAGTTCAGGTAGACTAAGCAAGCACTGACAACTAAGATTGTGGGAGCGTTCGTAACGTTGGCAAGAGAAGGCGAAGCACAACGAAGCAGAGGCACAATGAATGGATTCCTCCTTCCTTCAAAACTGCCCCCATTTATGACACGACGCAGCCACCTCAACTCCACCTCACAGCGGTGCAGTGCGGGATTCAGCGGCGGACGATGAAGATGCGGTGCGAGCTCGACGCGCCGCGGGTGGGCACTGGGCAGGTTCAGGTCTTTCACCAGCGTGGCTGAGGTGGTTGGGAGCCCTGCTGACCTGCGGACCCATCAGCTGCGCCGGAATGATGTGGCAATGCGGTTGGGTACACGTCATGCCACCCAAGGTAGGGACAGTTTGTTGATGCCGAAGAATCTTTCTATTTGCGGCTCGCGTGTCACTGAATCATTCCAGAAGGAGTCCACGACGCGATTAGGTCAGCAAGCAAAGGAGGCCTTCCCTTATCCCTCAAGCGTCGCCGGAGTGCCTTACGTCTGGTTCTCAAACGCAGCCTGACCTGGATGGGGCTGTTTTTGACGTGGTCATGTCCAAAGGTGAAAATTCTGGATTGGTTGGGCTTATTTGCTCTCCCAGACCAACCAACCACCCAGAAAAGGGGCCAAGAAACCAGGGCCAGAAACGGGGACCTCCCAGTGTAGTGCTGTACCAACAAGCGAATTGGGGGAAGCAACATCGGATCGTGTACGTAAGGTCTGACCAAGTTCCTGGCAATTCGGGCTACACCACCAGCACAACGGTTGGCACGTGGCACATGGTGGAAACGGTTTGTTTTGATCGATACGCTGGAATAACCCCACAAACTAAAACTTAGCACCCTGATCGATACATTCCGTTTGTCACTTATTCTCCCTTTTCGATTTGGCAACAATGCTCACGGCTTGCGGTTTTTCCCCCAGTGGGTATTCACTAAGAGCTCGAGCTTTAAAAAACTTCTTCACACTAACAGTTCAGTGGTATTGTTTTTCTTTTTTGAAATATATTTGGAATTGTGGTTAAAAAACAAATATCAGCCAGCCAAGCTGACGCGGCGGCATGTGTGGATGATTTGTAATAAGTGCAACTGAGGCCGAAGGTGTCGGCGGCCGCATATTCCCTTTGCATCGCCGTTGTTGGTTTGGTTGCATCCGTGACTGTGTACTGTAAATGATGGCTTCCAGGTGATAGGTACGTTACACACCTGAGTAGTTCACCACTAAGCAACATATCCTTACCATGCTCTAATGATCATATACCTATAAGTTAGAACTTCGTGAGCTTCCAATACATGTTCTATGCAACAGCTGGAAGTTCAGACACAGATATTTCTGTTGGAAACAAGTAACTTAAGCGCCCCTGTCGTGTCGAAACACCAAGTCAGAAGCGAAGCAGAACATATCGAAGCATCGGCGAGTCAACCCTCGGAGGTTGAACAACTCCTGGAGGTTACGCGAAAGTCAAAGGTCAGCGACCTTTGACCTGACAAGTACAGCGCGACAGCAAGGACAAACAACTGACTCGCTATTGAGCAGTTGCCCGAGTCGTCACTGTATCGAACCGCAACAGCAAAACAGTTATAGTTATAATCTTCATATTCCCTTGTACTCTTATAAAAGCTTGTATCTCTTTGCTTTAATCAATCTACTTTGCCCTCACATACCAGCGCAAGGTGGTTCACAAACTTCTCATTAAAATGCTTCCGCTATTACACCAGTCCTACCAAGAGTTTAGTCCTGCAAAGATCCTAAGGGACTTTTCTGTCAACGGGAGTTGTGTGTTGGCCCCGTCCTCGCTTGGGCGGAACCGACTTCGTGGTCGGGTGTGAGGGGAGCAGCCGACCTGCAGCAGTGGGCGAGCTGGTTGACGAAGAGGTCGACCTGCACGGGGGCCACTGCACGGGCGCCGACTTCAGGGTGGCGCCGTCTTTGGGGGAGGTCGACCTGCGGAGGACGTCAACTTGGTGACGTCAACTTGGGGCAGCCGACTTCGGTGGTCGGCCGACAACCGCGCTGGTCGACGTAGAGCTAGCCGACCAGAAGTGCTGGTCGACGTGGAGCTGGCCGTCCAGAGGTGACGTCGACCTGGAGCTGGTCGACCAGGGGAGTGGTCGACCTGGTGAGGTCGACGTGGAGGTGGTCGTCGAATTGGGAGGTCGACGGGCACGTACGGGAGCAGCTGGTCGACGTGGTTACCCGGTTGACCAGGTTACCTGGGTGACGAGGTTCTGCGGAGGAGTGCGACGGTCGCCCAGGCGAAGTTGGCGAGTCCGACCTCGGTGGTGGTATCCTGAGGTCGACGTGGCGGATCAGGTGCTGTCGTCAGCACGAAGGTGACTTGGTGTGTGCGTTGTGCAGGTGACGAGGCTCAGCCTGCCAATCGTCTGCAAGCACCTGCGAAGTGGGTGCGCTGCTGTACTGCGGGAGCAACGCTGGCACGCCGCCAACCTGCGACGTTGACACGCCGTCGACGTTGCACTGCCGGAGCGCGGTCGACCAAGTCGTGCTGGAACGCGGTCGACCATGCTGCACTGGCAGTCGACCGACCTGAATGCTTGCTCTGATGTAGTCTTGCCATCCCAACTTCATTGAACGATTGTTGTCTATTTTCCTAGTGAAACTCTTGCCAATTCTCCCCGTGAACTAGCAAGCAGCGTGAACACAAGGAAACGACTAAGTGAACGAACGCAGAGATCACACGAGCACCCGTGCCTAGCCCGTACCCTAGCTCCCGTTGCAGCAGTTATCTCCGCATGGTGCGGTGAGCGTGGACGGCACACGACTTACCTTTCAGTCAGGTCGACG